TATTTGTATTGATTAGATTTGCACTGTAAAGTTTCTTATTATTATTAGTTTCATTAAACTTAAAGAATTAAGCCCCTTTTAAATATATATACATAAAATATCAGAGCTTAAAATCAGTGGAAATGAACTGCTCTATAAATTGTTGAAAGCTGAAAGCTGAAACTGAAACCAAATGACAAAACTAGCCATGTCAGTCAACTTGTTGCAAGTTGCACAAATTATGGATGTGGATATTTGCAAGACCTTTTCAAAAGTGGATATTCCAGATTCCACAGTGAATGAAACAAAGGAACAACTCAGAGTTGATGACTGCTTGAATATATATATATATATATATATATATGCATGCATGCATATGGCTCAATAATGTGGCTAAAATGAGACTCATTTAGTCTATCAAGTTATCGCTTGAGTCTCATTTGGCTCCCACGCCTGGCTGCTCACACTTTCATGTTGTTGCTGTTGCAGTTGTTGTTTTGGTGTTGTTGTTGTCTGCGCAGGCGTAATGAGGCGCAGGCAATGTCAATGTACGCAGATCCCACAGTGCGATTGGCGCAACGCTATTCAACGTGGGTGGTCGCCAATGAGCGAAGGGGTGGGGTGGGGCAGAGGGGGACGAGGGCATAGGACCACACCCACACCTACACCCACATGCGTATATCGCTATTGAGATCAATTGGGGTAAGCGGCAGAGACAGTGAGAGAGAGAGAGAGAGAGAAAGAGAAAAATTTGGATTTGCATGGAGGAACCAACAATGTTGAGTAAAGCTCATTAAAAGTGCCCCCCACAAATTAGAATGTGAAAATGGTGTATAAATCTTTTCTCAAAGTGTAAAGACCCAACACACAGATACAGATACGGATACAGATACAAATGCAGATACAGATACGGATATGGGAGAAGCACATCGTTTGTAATGCCGGCACTTGAGCGCATTTCGTTGTAACTTTGTGTTTCATTAATAATCCAGGCAGCGGAAACTGCCACAGAGAGTGAGAGAGAGAGAGAGATGCAGAGAGTGAGAGAGATAGAGAGAGGATACTTTGGTACAGCTACATAAATCTTGTGTCGCATAATTACAGTTAAAATTTATAAGCTTATCTCTTTAGCCGCAAATTTATTAGCGTGTTACAGCTGGCCAAAAGGGAACGCTGCAGTTCGTCAAAGTCCAACGTTGTTGCAACAACAACCACAACAACCGCAACAACAACAACAACAGCAGCAGCAGCAACAAGGAGTCTGAGATGCCGCGCTCATTATGGCCAAGTATCGAAAATGCGTATTTAAAACGGCGTGAAAAACAATTTGTTGCCAATTTTATGACACCTCGCGCCTTGCCACAACTCATCCAACAGACGAGCATCGTGCGGCAAGTGAAGCTACAGCGTAGTCCAAGTAGAAGAAGAAGAAGATGCTCAGATGCTTTGCGTTGCTAACAAATTCATTTAAAATCCGCGACTGCACTGAGCCAAAAACTGTTGCTTGAAGTTCAACAAGTTTGAAGTTTTTCAATTTTAGTTTGTAAAACATTCTTCAACTTCTTCTATCCAAATCGTTCATTATAGTTATTGAAAAAGGTCGAAAGATATATTGACTCAACTAAGAAATATTCATTATCTTAAAACAAGTGCAGAACTTTTATTTGAAAATGTCTTTATTTGGAATTTCGGGAATTGTTGAAAGAAAGAAATCTTGAAATAGGATTTTTCCGTTGTTGACCATTTGCTGACAAAGTTGGTACTTTTAATCATTTTCTCTAAGTGTACGCTGGCTTTTGTAGCTGAGACTATAGCTGTAGAGCTGTGAGTGTGACTGTGGTCGGGCCGAAAGCGGTACTAAGTGTCAACCCCATAGATTTATGCGTATTGTCTTTTTTCGGGTTACTTGGGCTCACATTCCGGGAAGGCGGCAAACGGATACCCGGGACTGAGACTGAGACTGAGACTGGCACTGAGACTGGAGACTGGAACTGGGAATGGGACTGGGACTGGGACTGGAGCCAAGGCTGATGCTGATGCTGCGGCTGCCAACCGACTGCCGAACATTAATCATTGGGGGCCAGCAGCATTTGCGGCAGCTCTCGAGGCGTTGTAATGTGGCTCAGTCTCAGTCTCAGTGTCAGCATCAGCATCAGCTTCAGCTTTTGACTCGCAGCAACTGGGATGTGGGCACTTCTCGGACTGTGGCCCTTTTTTTGGCGGGATTAATGTACGTGAGCGCAAGGTATTTTGAATGGGCTTTTTATGGTCACATTTATTGAATTTATAACGTAATATACTCGCGCCATGACTCATTCTTAGAGTTGCACATCCACAAAGCCCCTATGCCCCATATGCATGCCCCCCTCCCCTCCCCCTGCCCATCTACAGTTGCAGGTTCCGATTCGAGGTTTTTGTGCTCGAGGCGAGAGCAATAAAAAATTATGCTTTAACAAAATACTCAACTATAAATTCAACAAAATATTACTAAACTTAAATTGACTTTTTATGAAGTCATCTCAGTCAGCCGAACGCGTGCCATAAAAATGCACTTAGCCAAACAACACCCACACACTCCAAAAAAAAACTGTATCCCGATTCTCTCATTCTCATTCTCGTTCCTTACCACCTCCCCTTGCCACCATGCACCTTGCCGTGCAAATAATCCGCACTTTGTTATACGTCGTGAGTCAAGCTTCGAATTTGCCTTCAGGTTTTGTTTTTGGTTTGTCACCCAAAAACAGCAAAAATGTCACCAATAATGAAACCCAATACCAAACTGTAAATCATCCACAAAATTAAGATGTTTTTGTGGCAATCGAAGCTGTTGCTTTTATTGTTATTGTTACTGTTATTGCGGTTCTTCAACTGCCAAATATTTGTAAAATTCACAGCCAGCTAAAAAAAAAATAAAAAATAAATAAATAAATAAAAATGACGCCTCAAGTTCAATATCCAAATATAAGAGAGAATTCGCTGATCTTGATTAAGATTTGACGTACACTAACAAATACTCTATTTATTTACTCTCCCATTCTGTCTAAAATATTTTAAAAAAATAATAATAATTTATAAGAAAACTTTGGCATAACCAGGATAATTTTCTTATCAGAAACTGGAGCGAGGCTGTGATGCACAACGCTGGACACATACTGATTTTGATTGAATTCCTTGTCGACGATGTCTCCAACTCGACTTAGCTGCTGCCAGCAGTTGTCTTGGGGCACCTCAATCTGAGATCTGCCGCAAGCAGAAGCAGCAACCAAATAGCAAAACATTTATTTCAAACTGACAAAACAAATTACTTTGAATTACCGACACAACATGTAACAATAACTTCTCATTCCACCGATCAGCCAGCAATAAATAAAACGCCTACACTAAAAAATCAAACGATGATTGAGCCACGCGTAAAAATCTCTTTCACAATAATTGCTCAATTATGAATTGCACTCGGTAGCCATTACTCTTTGGAACTGACTTAAGCAGAAGCATTCAAAGCAATAGCAACACCTGAATCGAAATCTATATACACATTTATATGTGTACTTGTGTGTATATGTATGTATGTATATACTTATAAAAATGCACCTGAAGATGCTGTATTCTCTATATTCATATTTATTTTTCTATTATTTTCAAAATTAAAAATTAATCTTTTTTGTGGCTTGCCATCTGGATTATTACTGCCTTTAAAACAATATTTTTGATTCAAATGCTGTCTTTAAATGGGTCCATCTTATTAAGTACCTTTCCACAAGACAGTTTTGAACACATTCTGAATTATACAAAGATTATACGAAATTCGCAGGGGCTAAGTAAGTAATCATGTTTGAATTTGTATATTCGTGGGACCCGTCACATCATAATGCTGCAGAGTGGTCGGATTTAAAGGCACTGCCTTCATCATCATCATCTCAATAAATTCGAGTATCGCATATATAAATATATATGTATTTTTTTGGCATTTCTTGCACTGTCTCCGCTCCTCATCGTCATGCTCATCCTCATCCATGACAGACACTTTTAACACCTACGCGTCGCTTTTTCTGTCGCTGCACTTCAAGCAACAAATCGGGAAAAAAAAACAACGTTTTTAAAGCGTCCGCCGTCGCCAAGGTGTCAATTTGTGCCGTTGGCATTGCCAGTACACACACCTGCACACACACACACACACACACACACACACACACACACACACACACACACACTTAAATACAGCCAGAGATTTACCGACTTTGTTTGCCGGTTTGGTTTTGCTGTTTATTTTGTTTTTGTTTTTGTTTTTTTTGTATTATTTTCTTTGACGACGCCGTATGCAAATTTAATGGCTAAATTAGACAGAAAAACGTTAACGTTTTCTGGCCGTTTTCAGGCATGGGCAGCAACTATTAGGCGTGATTATGGGCCAAGATTGCTTTCAAGCCATAATTTGCATAATGAATTTAATGCGATTGTAATACCAGCAATTGTCGATCCCCACCTAAATCGCCCAACGCCAACTCAATCTCAATCTCGATCATCATTAATTGAGTAATTAATGCCAACGCCCACGGCCCATTAAAGCATTAACCGATAACGAGCTATATATATAATGATCATTTGATCATCATCATAACGATAAGTTGCAGATCTGCTCAGGCTGGGGACCACCTAACTCGATAATATGCAAAACTAGAATTAAGCAAATCAAAACAGCGCCATGTGTATAATTTAAATGTTTATTAATTTATTTATTTTACTTGTGAACGTTTCTTTTATTTTTTGTTTATATTTTTTCTCTCTTCTTCTTCTCCTTTTTTTTTGTTAATTTATTGTACAAAAACACGCAGAGCAGCTGATAAAACTTGGCAAATTCGCGTCGCGTGCTCCGAGAGGGGGACTAGAATATTTTACAACTTAATTGTTAGGCAACTTTAAGCACTAAACTTACACGATACGCTATAAATATTAAAATTAATATTATTATTTATATTATTGTTAATAATATTATATATATATATATAGTATATACTATTGCCCTATGTTGGCTCCGCCGACGAAGCCGCCGCCGCCGCCGCTGCGGCCTCCTGCAGCTCCTGCATCTCCTCCTCCTCGCGGGTCAGCGGCACCGTCGAGTGGTTGTAGAGTCCCTGCGCCATCAGCTGGAGGGCGAGCGGATTCTTGGTGCCACTCGACTTTTTCAGCTTGGCCCGCTTGTTCTGGAACCAGATCTTGATCTGTGCCTCATTTAGACCCAACTCGCCGCTCAGCTGCTGGCGGCGCTTCTCCGTCAAATACCGATTCTCATTAAACTCATGCTGTGAAAATAGAGAGAGAGAGAGAAAGAAAGAGAGAGAGAGAGAGAGAGAGAGAGAGAGCAGAATGAGAGTTAGTCTGTGGCTCTTTGAATAAATATGACTTAAAATATAAAGCTTTTCCTGTCACGATTCAAAATTATTTCTATTTCTACATTTTTTTAAAGTTTAAAGTTTATATGCAATTTATAACAATATAAAAACACTTTTCCTTCTCATATAAAAATTGAATATAATTTTAATTTAGAAAACTCAGATATCCGAAAGACTGCCAAGACTGCTCTAAAACTTGAAATTGATTTGTTTTGTTGGCGAGTGTAGTTGTTGCTGTGATGGACTCACCTTCAGTCTGGCCAGCTGTGCGCCGCTGAAGGCGGTGCGTGGTCGCTTGTCCTCGGACACACTGTTGCCACTGCCGCCACAGCCGGAGTTGCCATCCGGATCGGACTTGTCGCCGCTGCCGCCGCCCGCCGCGCTCGTTGCCGCTGACTTCTTGGGTTTGCGCGTTCGCGGACCTGCCGGAGAGTGTGAGAGAGAGAGAAGGAGGGCAACAAAACGGTCATAAAAATTCCACACGGCGCCGTTAATGGCATCAACATGACTGGACCCTGCCTGGACTAACAACTGGAGTCCTGTACTCCATACGAACTGAACTCAACTGGCTGCCAACTCATCGCGCACACATAAATCCTGGTGCTCATATATGCAATGCTTATGGCCAGCAATTAATTCACATTTAAATGCGCCACAGACACAACCCCTGGCTGGCAATGACCCCGCACCCCACACCCCACAACCCTCATTCCAAACCGGCTTGGCCAAAACAATTAAAGTTTTTGGAAAATTTGTGCGCGTCATTTTCGAAAAGTAATCAACGCAATGACTTTTGACTGTGGCTAATTTTCCGTACAGCAGCAAAGCAAACACCCCCAAAAAATAAAAGAAAAGCTGCCTTCACTTTTCTCTCGACTTGAGTTGTCTTCCATTTAATTAACAGCTGCGCAGCAGACAGGCGCAGAGAATCAACGTCTCGGAGTTGGAATCCTCCTCCACCACGCCCACAATTTGCCCCACTCAATGCGGGTGGCACAAAAGTTTTCTTGTGGGTGGATTCTACCATATATTGAATTGCTATGCAAATAGCCACAGTAGTCGTAAAAAGGGGTTAGTTGGCAGAAGTTGAGCTCGTTTTCAAGAAATAGTTGCCACTGAAACGGAAATGAAGCAATTATGAGGTCTACTAATGGGCATATCTTGCAACCCATAACAACGGGCCACCATTGACCGCAAGTTGTTTCGCTTGCGGTTATCTGAATGTCTTTTGGCTCCACAAATATTTTGTAATTTCAACACTCATTCATCATAAGGCCGTTTTAAGATAACTCGCACACATCTACCTCAAATGACATACAATAGCGACCTGAAAGGAATTTATATTTGAATATAGGATGCATATGTATTCCAGATGACCTCACCAGCTGAGCTTACGACTAATGTAAGCAGAATATCCTCTAAGCAAATTCCAATTCTCTAGCTTCTCTAATCATACAGACAAACAGAGAGACATGATTATATCGACTGTCAATGCAGTTCAGGAATATATATATTGACTCAGAGATGATTACTCCTGCCTGTATCTGATGTTTTTAACCTTAAAACAAGTCTGATCTATTACAATATTCTTAAATTAAGTGTGCTCAATCTTTAGCTTAACTACGTAAATCCCAACTGTATTAAAGATTCCAATGGTAAAAGATATGCATTTAGAAAGAAGTCATAATCAGACTCCTTTCACATCAAATACTGGTTCTCTAACAGAATACTTGTCATATTTGCCTCCATAATCTCACCAATCGTATCTCATCCACTCATCTGCCGCTCACATCAAATACATATTCTGTTGCAGTATTGCCATATACCATATATAATCCTAAATAATCTCATCACATATCTCAGTCACTCATCTGCCCCTCACATCGAATACTTAATCTGCAGTGCATGTTTTAAAGTATTTGGTTGATCATTGAAGCCATTTGGCAGTCAATCTGGCCATCTTGTACTCACTTCGTCCTGCAATGGGAAAGAAAAGAGAAGAAGAAAAACATTAAACTTGTTGTTTAAGCTAGACAATTGAAAATTAAATTTGCTTTTAACGCGAATCAATAAAATATATCGAAAATTGATTAAATTCCAAGCACAAGAAAAGTTTTCGTTCGCTGCGAGAAACGTGTAAAAATTCCAAGCAATGAAAACCCAATTTTCAATCCTGCGATACACACAGAGTCTGTCTCTTTCGCACTCTATCTGTCTCACTCGCTCTCTCTCTCGCGCTCTCTCTGTGGATTTTGAACAACCTTCAAAACAAATGTACCGGAACTAATGGCAACCAAGTCATGCCCTAAGTTAAATCGTTGGAAAAATTGAACAAATCAATTTTGTCAACAAAATGCCGAAGCTGCCAACGGGCGCAAAATTAAACCAGCAAGCAAAAAAGCAACAACAACAACAACAACAACAAAAATAAAAAGAAAACATTAACAGTACATTGGCAACGTGCCTGCACGTGCTTGTCCACAAATTGTGGCAGGAGTGGGTGGGTGTTGGGCGTGACGGCTGAGGTGTTATCACGGTTTTAAATTTCACACGCAGCCCAACAACAGCAACAACAACAACAACAGCAACAACAACAATAGTAACACAAACAACAACAGACCTTGAACATGTCAGACAGCCAGGAGACGACGCGACGGCGACTTTTGCCTCGTCATCGGCCACCAGGCACCCCATAGACTCTGACCCACCTCCCAATAGCCCCCCTTCCGCTACTGAGTAACGCATGTTGCCAAGCAGATAAGCCAAGGGGCACAAGTTGCATACCAAGGCATCGCAAGGACATTGCCAAGGGGTTGCCACAAGCGCACTTGGCAACCTGCCAGTTGCTGTTTCCGTTGCCACCCCTTCAACCGAGCTGTAAGCTGCAACAATTGCTGCTTGCCTCAAATCTGTTGCCCGTTTTCCCACTTTTCTTTTTTCCATTTTTTTGAGATTTGTGATTTATAGCGTGTTAAATTTTTCATTGCTTGCTGCGCGAAATTTGACACAACAAAAAGTTTTTAATGTTTTTTTTTCTTTTTGTTGTCCTTGCCACTGGTGCTGCTGAAAAGGATGAGCTCTAAATGGTCTCTTGTCAAATTGGCTTTAATAGAAATTATATGAACTCAATCAACGGCTGAGCCGAGGAGCAGGGCTGCTTGGTATAATGTTGTCATGGCACTGTAATACTGCACTTATAAAATAATCTATCTTCTATCCACATATTTAAATAGGGAGTGGAGGGTGCATATCTCATGTGTGAACTTTGTTGTTTGAATAGTTATCTTAGCCAAGCTCAACAGTTATAGGTTTATATACGGATTGTTGTCAAGGGCGTATCCAGCTACTCTTGAAGCATTGCCGAGTTTTGTCAAGGAGGGTTGAATAATAAGTTGAGATGTAGGATGTGGATCAACCGAGCTGCCTACTTCCTTGATTATGCAACTAACAAAATGCCAATTAGACATAGACATCATATACAGTCATGGCCATACAAATAGCACGAAAGCATATAAAATGTGCTTGTAAATTTTCCAAACATTTTCCATCAATGCTTTTTGCAGCTTTGCTACTTTTGCTAAAGTTAAGTTTTAACTGAACCCATTTTAGATTTTCAGTGGTCAAAGAATTAATCAATATAATTTATGTATAGCATAAATACATGTTTTCTGTTAACATAAACACTTTAAAACTGGTTTTGAATGGATAATAATAAATAAATTCTTTATACTATTTGAGCTCAAACATTAACATTAACGGTTCGGTTTAACATGCACAGGCAAAAAAGGCATGAATTGCTATTCATTTGCCGAGAGGACATCATAAAAACAAGAGATGCAACAAAAAGCTGCACAAAAACTGGAAGATGTCTTCATCATTGGTTGTTAAACGCAATGCGCAACCCAACTTGGTAAGACACGCTGCCAACAGCCAACAGCCAACAGCCAGCAGCCAGCAGCCAACTGGCAAGCAAACTGGCAAAAAAAAAAAACGAAAACGAAAACAAAAACAAGGGAAACCAACTCAGAGTCAGATTCAGATTCAGAGTCCATTTGGACATATGTTTAAAATAAGCGCATTTGTTTTATTTATGCTTAACATGAGTTGCAAATGCCAAAAACAGAATTTGAGGCGAGACGGAGGCAGGAGTGGAAACTTGGCAGATGAGTTACCAAATGAATGAACCTGAATGAGTGCGCAATTAAATGTCAAAAAAGGAATGGAGATCAAGTGAGCAGCAACCCATGAGATACACACTGGGTTTTGCAGCCTGCATATAGGTTAGTGAGATGAGCGACTTGTGCACTCAAAAAAAAACCAGTCCTAATATTTTACAGAATCATTACGAAATGAGGCCACATTTTAACGCATTTTTATGCCCTTGTCGAGAGTGTGACAATTTTTGCAACACATCGAAGGAGACGTCTCCAATTGTGCAATATTTCCACAGAATCAAAATAAAGCTAACCATTTTTAAATTATTTTTAAATACAACAAAGCATTTTATATTCGAACCAATGCTGAGACATATTCCAAATTGAAAGAGGCATAAAATTGATCATTTGTGGAAGAGAAGTAGATAAAAACAGTAGTAAATTGAATATTCATATTTAAAATACAATTCTCTTCTGTAAAGTCTTGGGTAGAGGGTATTCTGAAATAGTTTTCCCTCGAACTAATAAATTATATATTTTTGAAGATGTTAGCTAGTCACTTGAGGTTATTTAATATTAATGAATTTCGGAAATAATCTCTAATCTAAATTCGAAATTCTGAGTATTAAATTCTTTTGCGAAGTGTAGAAATCGGCCGGTAAATGCCTGTTTTGGGCTTAGGTGATGCACGCAAACAACTTGGCCAAGAAGAAAACGGCCACAACTGAAATTGACTTATAAAGATCTCAAAATAACGGGCCACACACAGCTTCAGAGCCGAGGTTGGAGTCAGAGTTGGAGTCGGAGTCGGAGACTCGTCACAGGGGAACCGGCCGGCCAACTGGCCAGCTGGTTAACTTGGCCCAGACGGCGACTGAGCCATGTAAGCGATATGTTTGACAGTGTCGAAGTGTGGGGCTTTGCTTTAATTTTCCTTCTTCAGCTCGTTCTCTTTGGGGGGGTCGGGGGGTATTGGAGGATTGTTGTTATCGGATCTTGTTGCCCAAATCTAATGATCAGTCAGCTCATTAATAAGCCATAAAAACAACACGTTTGCTATTGGAAATTTAAGCGTGGTGAAAGTGAAAGTCAATTAATCATGACAGGCCATGAAGATGATGAACAGATTAACCAAATTATCGAATGGAGTCGAGGGTAATAACTGAGACAGGTTCTATATAACGGTATATGCCTTTCCCTCAAATATTTGCTTAGCTTAAATAAGATTAAGATATTTTTATATTTTTACAAATATATAAGCAATATCTATTAATAACAGAAATGCCTCTAAAATTCTAAACATTTTGTCAAAACATCCCAACCACAATTCTATATTTTAGATATTGGTTCTACACATTGATTGAACCTATCTACTTTGCATTCCCTGTGTCCATATACCCTTTCCTTTCCCTATCAGCGCCCACAATCAAGTCGCCACCGTTCTTACACCCTACCCAGCCCCCTCGCTTGGAGGCATGACAGGCAAATTAACGCTGCGGTTGCGAATGCTTCATAGGCATTTGCCACCGTTCATTATGATGATGATTGACACGACGATTGATTCGATCGCACGTTAATTGAAATGATTGACACGCCGCAATCACAGTCAAAGTCAAAGCTGCAAGTTGCATTCCCTAGGAATATATATATATATATATTTATGACAAACGATGCCGCTGAAGGAGAAAAAAGAGAAACAGCCAGAAACTGTCAGAGGTTTGTCTATCGCTCAATCGTTTCTTGGCTCAAATCAAAAATAGATATTGCACGCTAAATGGCTAAATGGCTAAATGGCTAAGATGGCATGCGGAGAGGCCACAACTTGTCGCCGTCTCGTCATCATCATCGTCATCGATGTTGTTGTTGTCTTTTGACGGCTTTTCCGAGCTTGCAACATTCCAGCGCATAATCTGCGCTGTCAAATGAAAATATTTAAATATGTTTTTAATTGCTTTATCAATATTGTTGTTGTTGCTGCTGTTGTTACTGGTTGCTGTTACTGGCTGCAGTTGGCTATTTGCATGTTTTGGCCATGTTATGCATAGCAATAGGCCAACCTGTTCGATGCGCTGTGTGCGCCTTTCATCCTCCGCACTTTATTTAATATGCCTCGTTATGTGAAAAGCGTCAAAACATGTTGCACAAAAAAAAATTACAATAATAAAAACTGAAGTCGGCTAAAAGAGAAATGTGAGGAGCAGCTGCACAGACTTAAAGGCCTATTAAATTTGCTGGACTGTAGGCGATTTTTATCACGTACTTACATTTATAACAAATGGAAAAATCCACAGAAACCACAGAATTAAAACAACTATTTTAAGCCTTAATTTATTAAAATGTTTAAAGTCATAAAGGAAAAAGATTTAAAAAAAAGGATACGTATCAAGATAGATATTAAGATACGTATTAAGATATCAGCCTAGACAATATTATCAACCGGAATTTATTGACTGACTTTATGTATTAACTGTAGATTGAGCTTGTTAAGAACACATAAAATTTAAGTACAAATAAAAATATTTTTTTGTGTTTAACTTTTAGGTGTACAATTACCAAATATTTATAAATTAGAAATTGATTTTTTAAAACTTTACCAGCTATAAGAAGAGTCTATAAGAACACTACAAAATATTTGCACAATTTCTCAGTAAAGTGTCAGTGTGAATGCCTAGATTCATTAAGACTGTATTCCCCTGTATCTCCCCATCACCCCTTCACCGTCCAACTGAATAAAACAACTTCATTTAACCTTTGGCAATTTTTCCACACTTACGCCTTAACGCTCCAGCTGGTTGGAGCTCGAAACTCATAAGTAAATTGTGG